TTTGTCTGTAGAGTAACTGAAGTCCTAAATCTATTCTCTGCTTAATTTTACAAGAATACAGTGAGTTTTCCCATAAAAACAGGATTGGATGTGCTTTCCTTAGGCAGCCTGCCCACCCAGTAGACACTCATGCTTGCGCACACACAGCTCCCTCATAAGCTCCTTCTGTCAAGTCCTCGCTCTGTAAATTAGATCCCCGGTGGGTCCTTTTGCTACGGACAAACCCATTAAAAAGACTATCCAGCATTTTCCTCCTTCTGACACAAGCGTATTACAGTATGTCATCTCGTGTCTGCAGACAAGGTGGAGATGACTATCTGGCTGCATTTGTCATGGTTATCCTGTGGCGAGTTGTCACTTGAAGGTCATTTTAATGTCCGTTCCATTAGAGGCATGGCAGTGACAAAGGTGGTCTCAAATCCAGCTGTCTCAAGAAATCTGCAGGTCAATAGAAATGGGGTTAACTATACAGACCTATCATTTTCCAGGTTTTGTGGTTGTGTTTTCCTTTTGTTTGTTTGCTACCATCTGTTTCTGGCCTGTGAGCTCCAGCCTCCCGCTTTTCTACTCTTTTTGTTCTCTTGTACTTGCTGCTCCCTGTTTGTAGTCTGTGTTTCTCTGTTGCCCTGTTGAAATGGATGAAACATTTGGCTTCAGTGGAAGTGGGATCCGTTGTGTGCACTAAATGGAGATAGTCTTTCTTTTTTCCTCAAGATCGTAAGCTTTTCTTACATGTTTTCTGGCAGCAGGCATGTGTCACTGGAAAGAGAAACTGGGATCATTTCCTGGAAGAGAATGGTAAAATCCAGGACATCATTCTGAGGTTAGGGAGGTGATAATACTAATAATGAAATAGTCCATAAATAATAGTCTGATGTGTTTTCCTGGGATTTTGTCCTGTGGACAGATTTGCTGGTGAGTGATAAATTCTGTGACCTGATAGCGACTGAAACTCCCCTGCATCCACGATACAGTCTCTGGATTGTCCTGTGAGAATCTTGGGGAAGAGGAGTGCATCCTTTTTCCTCTCTCTTCACCAATCTGCACAAAATACCTAGAAAATACTGACGTGCCGTCAAATTTTCTTGAAATTGGCCAACAGATCTGAGTGGTGTTTGGGAGGATGAACACAGGAGAGTGGTTATCTGCATACACAATGTTTTCCTTCACATTGACATGTTACAGAAAGGCAGGTTGTTCAATTGGGGATACTACATCAGCACTGACCTCTGGTTCTCTGCTCATTCCCTCCTGAGAAAAGGGTTGATCCTTTAATTATAGGCAGAAGCAGAAATAAGGAGTCTGTGAGTGTTGGTACCGTGGCTGTGGTACTAAATATGTAGTATTTAGGGTTTTTGTTTGGGCTGTTGCTGTGTTTGACTAAAACTAGAGTTGTCTCACAAGGAGGCTCTAGTGTTGAGGTCCCTTCAAAAATACCAAGGATCAGGAATTGCTGAGCAGCCCCTGGGAAGAGCGGGTGTGTCCGATGAGGTGTGTGCTCGTACTGAGCTGAACAACTGAGTCACACTGTGCCACTGGCCTGGCTGATGCAGCTCAAAGGTGTGAAGTGTCATCTTTCAGGAAGATCTTCAATATTAACCATGCTGTAAGGGCTATGGCTAATAATTTATTTTTACCACACTGGAAAAAATCATCCCTTTAGTTTGTAATACCCCCGTGCAGCCCAGAGCAAGCTGGTGGGGTGAGCTGATTAATATGTCGTACAAGTCATTCAACACCTTGACTTGCAGTCTGCTGTGCTAGATACGTGCTGAAGCTTCGCTTCAATACAGTGTTCATTCAGAGGAAACGAAGTGCTGCAGAGGACTGATGTTGGTCTTCAGCAGGTCAAGGGCAGGCAGCCAGCTTCCGTACGTTCCTGGGGAGCGCAGGGTGGCCCCAGCCGGTGCTTTTAAGGCCGTGAAGGGCATTCATGTACTAGAAATGTGGCGATTCGGAGAAATCAGGAGGAGAGGAATGATGAGTAAGTGGTTCTGAGTGCCAGTAATAATGCTAATCTCACCTCAGGGGTTGCTCCCAGGATGGGATTTTCTGCAATAAGGTCCTCTGGGATGTTTTGTCAGACAGATCTGATGGTAGCGTCAGGGCTGGAGGACACTGGCATTGCCATCCAGAAGCAAGCCATAGCTCTAGTGTGCCTCCTCCACAAGGTGTTACAGGGGTGGTCTGAGAGAAGACAGATTCAGCGTTCATTTGTTCTCCCCCCTGTGATCACCGTTGAAAGAAATGTTAGTGAGCCAGAAAGCCACTCCGCGTGCGTATGCAGTGAGCTTTGGGCCAAATTCACCCCTTCCCTAAGGTCTCAATGAGGTCATGAACATTGCAGCAGGGCTGTGTTTCTGCAAGGATTAATTTTGATCTTGAGGGACACAGCAGTAAAGCAGGACAAACCGTCAAGGAATTTAAGCATTTTATGGTGGTTTTAATACCATGGTTGCTAGTCAGAATGTACACAGACCTAGTTCATAACTTGGGCTACCAGCACTCTAGCTAGTGTTCAGTTTAGCTAAGGCTAGGAATTTCTTTCCATTTAATCCCTTTTCAAAAGTAGTTGTCTCAAAACAATTTATTGGTTTGAGTCTCCTTCTGGAAGGCTTGATGGGCAAATATAAAAGCTCTTTCTTCTCCTGGAATGGTGAACAACTGTACAAAATAGCACAACTACACAAAATAGACACAGGTCTGTCAAACATGCAAGGTTTAATCTAGTACCACCTGGATTCTTCATTGAGAATGTGTCACTGGGAAGTAACTAGTTTCAGTCTAGGTGAGAGCAAGACATTTTTTGTCTGCATCCATCGTGGGGAGGCTTTACACTTCTGTAAGAACCGTTGCAAGGCGAGTTTAGTGTAGAAAGGTAATTGCTTTACAAAAGGAAATAACGTGGGTGCTTTTGTGTAGCAGAGCCTTCAGCTGAAGGCCAGAGTTTTGATGTGTCAGTGACACTGCTTAATCGGGTGGTATGTTAACAGGTCGCTAGCTTGGGTATGTGGTGTGAATGTTTACCATAGTCCTGATGCAAACCTCCCTCCTTATTTTGCAATAGCTAACTGAAGCTTTTTAGAGTGTAGATAAAGGCTAGACAAATTGCAGTGCAAAGAGCAGCACCAGCTGGTCTTGGCCTGGCCCAAGAATATTTTCCATAATCTCAGGCTTTTAGCGTAACTGTTGTGAGACAAGCAAGTGGTGGTGGTTCCACAAAATACCACCACTGAGCTGACTCAAGTGAGCAGAACATCAGTGGAAATGACAGAAGTTTGCTATCATAGTTCTGCCTTCTAAACATCTCCCATGTTGAACTGCAGTCTTTGACGTTCAAGTCTTTTTGTATTTACAAACCTCTGAGACCAAGCATATACAGAAATAAGTGTCACAACACTCTCACTCTGGCATAAGGGGAAGGGGAAGATAAATGGATTGCCATGACCATGAAAATTTAAAGTTGCTACTCTTACAACTGTACTAAATATTTGACTGGAGCAGTCCCAGATTTGTGCATTTCCACAGATAAAATTTGTACAAGGTTGGGGCTGTAGTAGATAAACCATTTCCTGTAGTAACTTAAAGAGGAAATGCATAGCCCATACTGGTTATCTTGCACAGTATCCTTAGCTGAAAGGAACAAATCTGTGTTCTCCGACAAATATCTTTCTTAGGATGTCTGTAGCTTAGTGCTTTCACACACTTTTACACTTCCACTCTGTAGTAGGATTTGCTAGCACTGGGGTAGGTACTTCCTCTGCTTGCTGAGGCCCAGAAGTCAACGTAGAGCAGTTCTGAAAAATCAGCTTTCTTAGTGTTTAGACCAAATAATAAAATTGGGAAATAATTTATAAAAAACCCCAACAAACCAATACCAAAATGCTTTCAGCCACACATTTCAGATCACTTCAGCATTTGTAAAATAAGGAACTTTGTGTGGCTTTTTTGGCAATTACCAGCATTGCTTACTCATGATTTATTTTTACTATGTGAATGGTATGACATTTTACCAGGACCAGTGTTCCAGAGCCAGACTACACATGAACTGGCCCATGATGAGGAAACGGCATCAAAAAAAAATCAAGTGCTGCAAGGAATGGCTGTGTGGTTAAGATGGCAGTTTTGGTGGCATTTTTTATTTATACAAATCATCTTAAAAATGCTCTCTCTGGCATAGATTGACCGCCGCAGTGGTATCACTGCATCACGGTTCCAGGTAAGGCATTAAAAAAGGGATCTAAACTAACTTTCAGCATTTTGTTACAGCGCCCAACAGAAGTTACAGCTAAGTTCATGAGGCAATCCATGTTCTGAGAGGTGACAGAAAGTTACTCAAAGGAAAGGTACAAGTTTTGCTAAATCTTTTTTGAGAGGCTCAGCAAAAATTAAGGAAGTCCATGAGAACAACTAGTTTTAACTTGGGCTGGACTGTCCAGTATAAGGGAGGCTCACATGCCCATTGCAGTCCAGTGACTCACTGTGCCTTAAGTTCTCTTCAGGACTAGTGAACACATAGTCCTGTGGTAGACCATTTATTGTATTTATTACATCAAAAGATGCAGTGCATGTCAGGTATGGATTAAGTCTCCTTCTCTGAAGACTTTTTTTTTTTTTTTTTTTTAAGAGCAGGTAGAGCCTTATATGGCTTCTTGAAAACTCCAGTCTGCCTACTTCAGTGTTTCAGGACTACTGCCCGTTGAACGTCCCTGCTGAGACTTGTGTCTGTAGGGTGCAGACTGTAGTATAAAAACCTTTTCTAAAAAGCAGTGCAGTCAGATGATTTTAAGTTTGGAGCTTTTCTATGAAAAAGAAAATTTACCCCCATGCTACCAGTGAAGATGAGGAATTGGGCAACATCTACTTCATCTTGCAGTGAAGGGGAAGTACTTTTGATTCACTTCTAAGTGTTACATTCTGCCCAGCAGGTTCTATACTTAACTGCCTTCCTGATCATTTACTGTGCCCCCACCATACCTACTTTCACTTTGTCAAATATATCCAGCAGATTTTAAACACTTTATTTAATAAAAGTTAAACATACAAAACTGAAATTAACACACTTTGTATTCATAAAAATCACCTTCTCCCATTATAGGGAGAACCTTTTTCTATGTATGGATTCTAAACTACCAGTTGTAGAGTTTAGCTTGAGTTGTGACTCAGGTAACTGATGGACATGTCCACCAATCAGTGCATCAACAATTGCTGACGTGACCTGATCTAGTTAACAAATTACAAAATGAGCTACATTAACATAATATACAGGGAAATAATGGTCAGGGTTAATGGACAAGAAACACCCTTTAATTATTTAATGGGGGAAACAGCTGATGTACTCTTGTCCATTAACTCAGCCCTAGATTTTACAAAAATAATATCTACATTGTATACAGGGCTACCCATTAACTTCTTTAACACATTATGGGTTCAGAGATGGCACCACTACTGTGAGACAAGTAACAGAGGAACGCAAATCACATAAAATACAAGAAAGCAAGAGCTTTTACACATGGTTTCCTGAATAAAACTGAAGGGGCTCAGCAGCACTGTAATACAGCTGAAGTTACAATGAAGACTAGGGCCAGTCAGTTATTTATCTACTCCCTCACAACTCAGTAGGCTCTGGGCATTCCTATCTGCTGTGCTGCAGTTCTGCTTGAGTGGAGGGAGGCCCAGGGACGAGCTGTGTATTCCAGGTCTGTGACTGTGCCACCAAACCCGCAAGATCTACAGGAGGGGAGGTGATGGCTCCTTCCCCAAAGCACAACCCTTTCTGGTCTACAACTCTCATCCTCAGGGAGGGACAGGGCAGGTATTTTTAAGTACAGTTCTCTACTTTGTCCTATGGTTTTCTGGTTACATTTCAATAGTCTCCTATGAAAATTTGATGAGTATTTAAAAAAAAGTAGTATCTCCTCTGCTTAACTTCTAGCACAGGCCAATTCAGACTGGAATTGAAGTCAGATTTATTGTTTCTAGCACATGGATCACTAGTAGTAGTAAAGATCCTATCGTCCCTGTTCTGCCCTCATTTACAGCTGTACAAATCCATCTGCAGGGGATCTGTAAGGGAGTAATTTAGAACTTCCTTAGCAATTCCATGACACATAAGCTGGGATGGAGTCTAGCTCTCCCAGAGCTGCAGCAGCTCTGTAATGCTGAGCTTGTTGCTCAGACAGCACAGTGGCTACAGAAGTGAGGGAGGTTGCTACAGTGCCATTTTTATACCACCACTTGTCTTAAGGAACAGAAACTTCACTACTAGTATGAAGGGAAGATTCTAGAGATCAAAGCTGCAGATAACTACTCCTTTCAGAGTAACAGGTAACAGCAATTCATGAAAGCATTTACCTGCAGAATGTATTTTAATGCAACTACGAAAAGTTTAACGATTGGGGGGATCAAATCAATAACTGGAGATTTAAGGCTCATGTCAGCTGAAGCCAAAGTGATGGTGACAAAATGGACTACTCGCTATGTGCCAACAAATAATTTACTTTTAGAAAAATATAATGATAAAAAGATAAGTGTAAAGCCCTGCAGAGATGAAGTTCCACCTTTTTCCCCTGTTACTGAGGCATCAAATGCCTGACATTGTATTTAGAGGTATCTTGATACTGTGTCATAGGTTTGTCTGCAATTCCGCACGTTCCAACTCCAACCTTGCCAGTTACACTCTCAGGGGAAGCAAAAATACTCCTCTTTACCTGCAAATGAAACAGAAAAAAACATTTCTGAATAATTACTAATTTGCCCTTAAAAAACCCCAAACATTACCCTTTGAAGTGTTTTTAAATCCTCAGCTTAACTCTGTAGATGGTCTCTAGAGGCTAGCTCATCCGTGACGTTATCAGCAAGTGCAACAGTTGGGAACTTCCTGGCACTCACTGGATGTGACTGGTACTCAGGACTTTGGATCAGGCCAATAATGAATAAAATTCACCTCTCTAATACAATGATCTCTAATAATTGTTCACAAAGAAGACTGAAGCTTTATGTCTGGCAGCTCTTGATCAAGTCATGATAAAAATGAAATAAAGCTTTAAAATGTCCTTGCTACCTTTTCTGCACTACACTTGCTACTCCAGGGCCATGATTTAGCACAGTGTCTGCCAGGTTATAACACAGCAAGAAGTCAGGTTTGGAGGTTTAGACAGGCCTTCAGGTTCTAAGCTCCAACAAACACAACCTGGCAAGTGACAGTGAGTCCAGCTCTCCAAGCTGAGTGCAAGCTCAGCCTCAAGGAGCAGCACTGCTTCAAAATCAGCCAGTACAAAACCAGGCATTTTGAGTCTTCAGAATACCAAACCACACACTTCAGAATCCCAAAGATGATCCTCCTCTGAAAACCATTTCCTCCTCTCTCCCAAAGTACTGCACAGAAGTCTCTGCCCTTTTGTTATTTGCATACTGACAAAACCAAACAAACCTGGCCTTTTTTGTTTTTAGAATAAGCTCTGTTGTTAAACTGTTGCCACTTGACTTTCTGGTCCTCTCGTTCCTGTTCAAGTTCTTTAATTCTCTGAGCTTTTTTCAAAGCTTTCTTCTTTTTATACTCTCGTTGCTGGGCTATCATCTCTTTTCTGGAGAGAAAGAAAAAAGACATTTTGTTTGTGCCTTTTCCTGTAAGACAGACACACACAATAGTTTTTCATAACTGACAGAAAACAAAGCTTGTAAATATTCTCCACTTGGAGGAAAGAAAAACCCAAACAAGTCTTCCCATGCATAAGCATTACATTGCTTATTTATATATTTATGCACAAGAACAACCACCACCATCACCTGATTAAGACTATGCCAAACACAGCAACCCATGGGATCACATGCAATTCCTCTCTGAAACTGAAAAGGTACCTATCAGCACTTCTACATTTCAGAAACATCTAGGGTTTGGAAAATTTAAATAGCCCATTCAAGTGAAAAGTCCAAACTTCTCTAGAGGTCTGCAGGACTCATGCTACCAAGTATTGGACAGGGATGAAGGAAAAGAGCAAAGGTAAGTTACTTCAGTAAAGATAAGGGAGTTCAAGGAGTCGATCTGTGCCACAGTGCAGCACCCCTCCGAACAATCCCTTAGGATTCATTGCCTATAACCAATTCTGAAATTGTACTGCCTCCCCGCCCCCCC